TTCTTCTACCTCTCTTATACAATTTTTAAGCTCCTTTTTGAGCTCTTCCATGAGCTCTTTCTGGGCTTGAGATCACTTCCTCTTTTTCTTTGGGGTTTTGCCCATCAATGTTTTGACATTGTCATCCTCTTCTAAATTTGTGTCTTGGTCTTCCCTGTCACCATAACTTCTTATGGTCAGATTCTTTTTTTGTTGCTTTTTGCTCATCTTTTTTTTTTTTTTTTTTTTTTGGTGGAGGCAGGGGGACTTTTTCTTTTTTTAAAAATTTGAGCTCTGCTCCCATGGTGGAATGGGTACTATCTTAGGCTTCTTGTGCTAGTAGTTACAGGCCCTGGCTATTTTCCTGGTGCTTCACTGATGTTGCCTGGAGGCCCACTGGGGACCCTAGTGTCTGATGCTGTACTAAATGGATGAGGTGGGAGTCGTCTGGTACTGCTAGAGGCCATAGGGGTCTGACAGCTTACCTTGGCTTAGCTGGGATCCTAGTAGTGGTGTGTGGCTTGTGCTGAGGCCCAGTGGGGTGTTTCTGCATTTCCCTGTGCCTACACTGAAGCACATGGTGGTCTGACCTCTAGAGGCTGCCTGTTTGCCTGGGGCTACACTGAAGTACTTGGTGGTTCTCGGAGTTAGAGTCTGTGGGTTCCCCTGGAATGTGAGGGGTCCTGATGTTGGTGTTTGCCTGCTCCACCACACTGGGGCTCAGTATCTACTACTGGCTTACTGAGGTGGAGCTTGCTCCTGACTTGCTGAGATGCTTCCCATCCTGGACTGTGCTCCCCTTTCATCCAAATGAGACAGACCTTTCTTGCTGATTCTCCAAGTTTCTTGGGCTAAAAGATTGTTTCACTCCATCTTTTTGTTGGTTCTGCTGTTCCAGGATTTGGGGGGGGGGGGGCTCTACTTTATGGTTGTTTGGAGATCAGTATGGGAGAGTTACAGTGATTTACTGCTTAATCCACCATCTTGGCTCCAGAAGTCCCTGTGATTATATAATTGGAAGATAATTCCATTCTTGTGCTGTAATCTGGGTTTCTGGCCAAGCCTAGGGCATTCTACATGTTGACTCAGTGCTCCTTTAGGCTTGTCCAACATACTTTTCTGACTGGGTAATACTACCCAGACAGATTCGAGGCAGAAGGGAGCCTCACCTACCAGAATCAATGTTGTATCTTTATCAATCCTTTTTATTGTTGAGTATCTTTGTTAATACTTATCTTTGTTGAAAATTTAAAGCCCATAATTATTTCATTGCATTCTAATCTTGAACCTAAACTACCAGACTGAACCTAAGTTAAGCCTGACCCAGAACACTGATTTAACTGTATGAGTTTTAAAGAAAAATCAAAACCTCAGCCAATTAAGAGGTGTAGGTCATCCTTGATCATCAATCACAGTTTAAGGTAAGCCCTAGGTAACTAGTCATATCCTCCTCTTTCCTTCTTCCATGAGTTGTTAGGAGGAAGGGAATAGCTCCACAAAGACATGCTTGATACTAAGGATTAAATATAGATATGCGCACTGTCATCTAAAATGGAATAATTCAACCTGATAGCCAGTTCACTGAAAAAATTAAAAAGAATTTACAATAATTTTTCAATTCATGTGCAAAAAATAGTAGGCAGTCACTTCCATTTACAGATGGATCACAGAAAAAACTGAATTAAAGAAAAGCTAAGCACCTGTGCCAACATCATAGAGAGACTGATAACCAGTGGAAACAGCTTGTAGGGTATTGGCAGATTAAGTGAAAGATATCTTTTTGGAAGTGGAGCACTCTGGAGGTCCATCCAGAGTCTGGAGTCAGAATGTCTGCTAGGTGATAGACAGAGGGAAAGAACAGGTCTCAGACTCAAGGTTTCAGGACATAGAGGAAGGAGTTAGTCCTAGAGGAATCATGAGATCATGGGTTTCAATCTGTATTGCAGATCTCATTACATTATCTTTCCCCCAAAATCCACCCCTCTTCTTAACCTTCCTATTACTGTCAAAGGCAGAGGTGGAGAACCTGTGGCCTCAAGGCCACATGTGGCCCTCTAGGTCCTCAAGTGCATCCCTTTAACTGAATCCAAACTTAACACAACAAATCCCCTTAATAAAAAGATTTGTTCTCTAAAACTTGGAGTCAGTCAAAAGGTTGCCCCCAAGGACCTAGAAGGCCACATATGGCCTGGAGGCCGCAGGTTCCCCAAGCTGGAACTCTAAGACACCACCATCCTTCCAGTCAATCCAGGTTCAAAACCTTGATGTCATCCAAGATTAACTTTCCCTTATTCCACTTACCCAATCAAATGCCAAATATTATCTTTTCTATCTCTATAACATTTCTTGTATCTATCCCCTTCTCCCTATTTGCACAATCACTAGCTGCAGACTGAAATCAATAGATACCTTACTCATCATGCTGTGCTCTCACAGAAAAAAAATGAAGGATTGGGGAGAGAGCTGTTGCACATTCGAGATCTTAGAGCCAGTTCTTGTAGAAGCTATGAGATAATGGAATGGGAGAGAAAGACAGATATTTCCTGCATAATTGCAGCACTCCTGGGTCATTTTATTATAACTGACTAGAGGAGCCAATGCCAGGCAATTCAGGGGGCAGAGTGAAAGTGTTAATTGATAATGAAGAGGGGAGATAGTTGTGTGAGAGACAAGCCCCCATGATTGACTATCTCCAGAAGGGTGACATGAGATTGAGATCCATCTTCCCATCCCACCCCCATTCCCTCAGCTGTTTAGTCACACAGTCATTGGGGTCATGCCACAGTCCACTTCTCTGACAGGTGCACATATCTCCACTGCAGTCCCATATAATTGTTGCTTACATTCTAAAGCTTCACCTTACATTATAAGAGGTTCACAGTTGTTACTGTGATTACAAATTTTGTGCATGACTTGTGGAGGCAGTTCTAGTACTTTATATGGAAATACCTGATCTGATCAGGGCTGGGGTTTTGTTTTGTTTTTTTGTTTTGTATTTTGTAGCAAAAGGAAATTGGTAGTCCCAAGGCTGGGGAGATTTAAGAAATCTGTAAAGCACTTTTCCTAATACTTTCCTTTCCCTTTAGAAAAGTCCTCCTCCCTTGAAATTCCCACTTTACTTGACTTTTTCTTACATGCTCAAATTCCCCAAATTAAGAGACTATTCTGGGTTGACAATTACTCTTTTAAAATGGAAATGCACCTCCGGAAAATGGACTATTCAGTACTTCCAGCAAATTGGTTGAATAGCCTTAAATCTGTGCTCCCTACTATTGACAGAGCCCTTTCACCTACTTTTTTCCACTCAATTCTTGCAAAAGTCACACAACCAGTAGGCAGCATTACTGGGGCAGTGACCCTGCTCCTCAGAAATCAGGTTGAATGTACTTTTCACTCTAACATCATGCATCTCCTGGATTGTTTTCCTTCTAATATCTAGCTGAGATCATTGGCAGTGGGGTACTGAATCACAGTTTTTATGGCGGTCAAGGGTAATAGAGGAAGGTGATCTTTTGGAATGTGGAATAATGAAAGCTTCAACGGGAAGGAAGTTTGAGTAGCATGCTTTGGGAAGCCAAAGAGTAATACTGTGAGCCAGAATTTCCTGGCTGGGAGTTAGAAGAAATCAAACCAAAGAAATCATAGGCCTGGTTAAAACCAAACCAAACAACCATTTTTTTATATCACATGTAACACTTGTGAGTTTTAAAAAATAAACTTCATAGGTATAGGAACAGAGAAAAAAAAAAGCCATGGAGGACACAGTAAAGAAAGCAAAAGTATACCAAACATCAATCAATGTACACCCTACTTGAAAATGTTCTCCAGGATCAGCTGGTAGAAAGGAAAGAGCCATGGCTCCGGAATCAGAGGATTTGGGTTTCATATCTTAACCTTTGATGCTGAGTGCTCAAGTAACCTCAGTGAAAACCTTTTCCTAAGCCTTAGTTTCCTCATCAGTAAAATGACCGGGGGTGGCATGGCTGACCTCGAAGGTCCCTTCCGATTCCCTCTTGATCTCCATTGAGCTATCACATTAGAAATTAGGGCTTACACTCTTCCTATGTTGAGAGCCTACAAGGTAAAGCGGATATTGAACTGAAATGGAAAAATCATTCTTGTACTCCCTGCTTCACAGAGTTGTGGAGAAAGTATTTTGCAAACCTTCGAACACTATACAAATGTGAGTTCCGAGGGAGGAAAACGTCAGGGCAACATAAGAAAAAATGAACAATTCAAGCTGTTTAAAAATGGCATAAGTCGCTTAGGAGAAAAGTGAGATTCAGTATCCGTAAGGTCTTTAAGCAGATGTTGGATGACCATTGCTGGAGATGTAAACACGAACGATCTTGTTCTGTGAGAGCAACAGCCCTCAAAGGGCAGGCCCAGCACCCCACGGGGTCCCCAAGATCCTCGACGGGGTACACCCACCACCTCAGGCCATTCATTTCCCAAACACAAGAGAGAGAAAACGCTCCCCTACCCCACGTGGTTTCTTGTTTTTTTTTTCTCGAGGGGAGGTGGCGGTAGGTTCTCCGTCCTCCCCACCTCCTCCCTGCCTAGTACGGTCCGGCCCGAGGTGGACGGGTCCAGTGCCTCAGTTACACGGAGACCAAGAAGACAGGGGGGAGGGGGAAGAGAGAGAGAGAAAAGTTCCCCACTCTCGCGAGACTCTGCAGCCCCGGCAAGTGGGTCCAGTCCCTCCCGGATATCACTGCTAAGACAAGCGGTCGTTGGGGAAGAAGAGAGTGGCGGCCGCAGCTCCCACCCCCCTTCCCCCTGCATCTCCCAGCGACGGCGGCCGCCCGTCCCGTTGGTGTGTGTGGGGGGTGTGTGGCTGTGTCCGCGCGCGGCCCGGGACCCTGGAGCTAGCGGGGTTGGGCTGGCGGGGCGGGGAGAGAGAGGAGCTGCCTCCCTCCTCAGCGCCGGCTCTTCCGGTGCCCTTCCCAGCCTCCCTCAGTGTCCTTTGCGCCCCTCCCCCCTCCCGTCCCTCGTATCCACCTCCCACCCCAGCCGCCGAAGCCCCGCCTACCCCTGCTGCCGGCCCGCGGTGTCCCGGCGGCTGCACGTACCTCTGGCTCCCCGTAAGTGCTGACCTCTCGGGGATATAATGCCTTTCTATCTATATCTCTCTTTCTCTGTACATTCTTTATCTATGGAAAACATTCCGAGGGCTGCAGCTGTTTCCCCTGTCCCCACGCCCCTCCCACCCCCTCGGCGACCTCCTGCCCGAATTTGGAGTCGGAGGGGCTATCTCCCACCTGGCATCTCTGGGCGGACTGATAGAGAGCCGCGGGCGCAGGTGTCACTCAGAGGCGACCAGATTATTTGTCTCCCCACACGGGTCTCCTCTGAAGCAGATTGCATTTCCATGCAGATTCTGAAGTCTGCATTAATAAAAATCCGTGGGCTTCTTTTTGCTTTGCCTCTTAGGCTATAATTTTTACCAGGATCTTCGAGTCCTGTTTGCAGGAATTGTTCTCTCTGTGTATCTGCTAGGGTGTTTGAGAACATGTAAGTGCAACCATCAACTGCAGAAATTAAGGTATGGAGGTATTTTCTTTTCTTCCCTGTTTTATATTTTTATTTGTTTTGTAGGGACAATTTATTCATTTTTGAAGTAATTCTCTTCGAATCATTTGGAAGCCAAAATGGATCACATTAAGCAAGTTCGAATTTTACTTTTAAACGACATGGAAAAACTAGAAAAGACTCTCTTCAGGCTTGAACAAGGTAGGTAGGAAGGTATTTCCTTAACTTTCTGTTATCTTAATTCTGTAGTTATGAATGAAAAAGAAAAGACTTCCAAAATATTTATCTTGAGATTATCAGAGACAGGAAAAACTACATTACTGCATGACTTTCTTTGTAATAAATGATTGCTGCTGAGTGTTCTAAAATTATTTTGCTTTTAAAAAAGATCTAGAAAGTAATTATAATAATCATGGAACCATTTCATTGGGCTCGGCATGCCCACTCCCGTTAATTCCTGTTAAGGATTACTTACATAGTGGTAAGAATTCTATTGCTGATCTTAAAAAAAAATGACACATGCAAATTAAATGATTCAACTCCTAGTTCACATTTGAGATTGTAAATGTTTATAGTTGGGGGATTTTTTAAATATTTTTCTTTCAGTTCCCCACATTTATCCCTAATATTGATAATAGTAAAAGAACAAATTAAACTCACAGGACCCTTGAAAGCCTCTAAAAGCTAGTTAAGGATAAAGTTAAATATTTTTGGTTAAATGAAATTCTTTCTCAAACAATATTGAAAGTAATGCTTGAATTATGATTTTTAAAAATCAAATTATATTTCTCTATGAATAACTATAGATTTACTCTTTTCTCATCTGGATGTAAGATCACTTAAAATATTTTCGAGATGATAGATTTTTCTAAAGTTTTACAATCCTTTAATACTCTTTGCCAGTTTAACTTCTAAAATTTAAATTTAGATTAAGCAAAAAATCCATTATCTCTTCATTATTGCGCACACTAGCTATCAGGGGGTGTATCTTGAAATTCTTTGAAAGTGTGCTGGAAGGATTTCAGCTGTTAAAGCAGTATTATTGAATATGTGAACATCCAATGGCCATTTTTAAGTTAACTTTTCTTCATTACTTTGCTTAAAAGCCCTTCAGTGGCTCATAATTGCCTAGTCCAAGTTCCATAGCCTGTCAGAGGAGTTTAAGAACTCCCTGCAGTTTGGCACTACCCTACTTCCCAGCCTTATCTTATAGCACTCCCTTCTGTAGACCTCATGCTATAGCCAAACTGGTGTATTCAGTGTTTCTGTGCTCTGGGCCCTTCTGGTAAACCCTTGTCTTCCCTTGCTCCTACCCATGCCCCTTGAAACCTTTCCTAGTCTCTAAGATCCAACTCAAATGCTGCCTCCTTTACAAAGTCTTCCCTTATTTCCTCTAATCATAAATGATATTTCCTTCCTCAGTCCACTCATTGCTTTGTACCTTTCATGCATTTATATATCAGTTTATATTTTAGTCATTTGTATGTGTTCTGTGTTGTATCCCTACCTTTACACTGTGAGATCCTTGAGGGCAAGGATTATGTCTTAATCTTTCTATCTCCCTCAGTACCTAGCTCAGTGCCCTGTATAGAAGGCTCTTATAAATTCAGTATATGGCACTCTTGAACACCTATCTGCTCCTGTAAACCCTTTTCCTTCAGCTTTCACAATGGCTGCATTTTTCTAGTTCTTGTCATTGTTGGACTTCTCTGCCTTTGTCTGTTCTGTATTTGTGTTCTAATCCTATATTGCCAGGAGTATTTCCCCACTTGGATTTTCTACTATTACCTTAAATTTAGCCTGTTCAAAGCCATGATGTTGCTCTTTTTTTCCAACTTCTCCTGGTATCCCTAATCTCAAACTTGATATGCTTTCTAGCTGCTGCCTTCAGTACTCATTTTTCAGTTTCCTGGATTAGAAGCCTTGGAGTTTTCTTTTACTTATCACCTTCATGTCACTAAGTCCTGCTAACAGTTCCTTCAAAATGTCTATTCTCACTCATCACATCCTTGTGTATTACTACAGAAACCTTCTTGGTAGTCTTTCTCCCTCTTATCTCTCTCAGTCTGTCTAGAATTACATTTCTAAAATATAGCTTTTAGTTTTTTACTTGCATGAGAAACTACAATGGTTCCTTATGCTTACCATGGAAAGTCTAATCTCCTCTTCCTGTATCTTAAGGCTCTCAGTAATTTGGTGTAGCTATCCAACATAATAATCCATTGCTTTTGAACACATGTCCTCCACACCACTCATATTTGTCTGCTACTGTCCCCTATATAGTCTATATTAATCGTCATTTTGCTCATACTGTATTTTCCCATGTTTCTATCTTCTCTTTATTTCTCCATCTATCCAAATCCTATCTGTTCTTAAGACCTCAAATTCTATTTCTGGTAAACTTTTCTTTAATACTGTAATTTCACAGGTCTTACCTTTCTCTGAATATATATTGCAATTATAATTACTACAGTTTGGCATTTTAATTGTTTTAAATGTTTAATTTGGCATTTAAAATTGTTTAATTTTCTTGTGTGTTAACTCTTCCCTCCTGAATTTTAACCTCTTTATATCCCCGAAGTAACAGTGCTTGTCACAGTAATAGGCATTTAAAAACTTGCTCATTGACACCAGATATAAAGTTAAAATAGTTTTGATGTATTAGTGACTGCAGAAATACAGCCCTGGTTACAATAGTAGATATTTAGTAAATACTTGCTTTTAACTTGGTCTCTGTTTGAAGAATGGATTTTCAAGGAGAGGGAGCTATGTAGCCACAGACCCATTTGGGGATTTCAGGCACACGGTAAAACTGAAATAACTGTGGGGCACTACTATAAAGCAAGTTATACCATACGTCCTGGAAACCACCCCAGACTGGATCTGACTTCTGTTCCATCCCTTTGCCTAATCTACTCCATACCTCTTACTTTAGGGTTTACCTCTGGTATTCAGCTCGATTTCAATAAATTCGATTATAGAATTTCAGAGTTCAAAGGGAGGCCATTTAAATCCAACCTATACCCAAAGAATGACAGAATCAAAGAATTTGAGAATGCCTGATAAGGGGCTGTCCAGCCTGTTTGAAGATCTCTAAAGAGAGAGAGCCTACCATTTCTCAAGTTAGCCCATTCCACCTTTAGACAGCTTGAATTATTGGGAAGATTTTTCTGATCACTACTAAATTGTAACTTCCATCTGTTGCTTCTGATTCTGCTTGTTGGGGACAAACAGTCATGTCTTATCTCTCCTTTACATTACAGCTCTTCAGATCTTAAAGATAGATAGCTATCATGCCCCACACATCTCCTCCCTTCCTGTCTCTTTGTCTTCTCCACACTAAACATACATAATATCTTCAGATCTTCACATGATTTGGACTCAAGCCCCTTCAACATCCTGGTTACCTTCCTCTGGAGAGTCTAGATTATCTCTGTCCTTCTTAAATTATAGTGCCCACAAATGAACAAACACAGTATTACAGATGACTTCTGACAAGAGCAGAGCATAGTGGAACTATTCTCCCCCCTCCACCTCCCATTCTTGGAAGTAAACCCCTAATAATTTAGCCAAAGATTAAGCTTTTTTTGACTGCCACATCACACAGCTAATTCCTGATGAGTTTGCAATCCACTAAAACCAAAAAATCATCTTCAGCTGCTATCTAACCATCCTAGACCTCTTCCATCTCATGCTATTTTTTTTACTCGTGTAAGACTTTAGAAGAAAAATCTCTCTTGAAGCATAACCAATGAGTTATTATTTAGACTTTTCTTGAAAACTTCCAAGGTTGGAGACCCTCCCAAAGAAACCCGTTCTATTTTTGGATGATTGTGATTGTGAGGAACTTCATCCTTACATCACCCCTACATTTGTTTCTTTTCACCTTAAAACTGTGGCTTCCAATTTGCATCTTAGGACAGACCAAGCAGACTAAGTCTTTATTTTTCTTCTGTTGTCTTTTGGACCTTTAATATTTGATTACAACTGTCATGCCCCAGCTAAGCATTATCTTAGCCAAATAATCCCCCACCTCTTTCAACTAATCCTTACATGGTGTGTTAGCAGGGTTCTTTATGATCCTTTTGCTCCTCTTTTGGTTTCCTGCCAGCTTATCAATATTATTCTGTAGTCCTGGAAGGTATACTTTTCTTAGTACAGACTAGGCTTATATTAATTTTTTAGCTGCCCTTTTTCTCTAGCTTTGCTGTAAAATATATAAAAGATGTTTTCCTCAACCTCCTTAAAAGATTATCTTAAAATGCCAATCCTTCTATAGAAACTCCCTTGATTTAATTGATTGATGGTAGTGATTTTCCTCCCCCATCAAATGTCTCTTCAAAAAAAAACTGCACAAAAATGTACATTTTTATAAAATAGAAATGTCTATTTCTGTTACTGAATGTGGTTGTTCCTGATGAGTTATTTCCTGATTGCTGTTATGTATTTTCTTAATCCCCTTTTGAAATGTTGATACTGTCTGTTACATGGATCAAATGAGAATATACACAAAGCTCCTTGCTAACCTTAAGGCACTTTATATATATAATTATTAACTCCTATCAGGCCTGGCAGTATAATTCATTAGAAAAGGCACTTGCCTTGATGTTACAAGGGCCTGGGTTCAAGTAATGCCTACCTCTGCCCCTTATTAGCTGTGTGACTTCCAACATTCCTTTGAGACTATTTTACTTTGTGGTAGAGTACTTCATGTAGTGTCACATGAATAGTAGTGTTTAATATGTTTAATGGTGTAGTGCCGGACTTGGAGTCAGGAAAAACCTGGATTCAAATTCCTCTTACAACAGTTCTTAGCTGTGTGACCATGGACAGCTCACTTGGCTCTTTGTGTTTCTGTTTCCTTAGTTACTAAATGAAGATGACTGTCCACCTCACAGTTTTTGTGAGGATCAAGCTAGAGAATGTCTATGAAGTGCTTTGTAAACCTCAAAGCATAAAATGAATGCAAGCTCTTGTTATAATATGGAGTGTTATGCCTGAAAAAGATCCTACAGGTCACCATTCCGTTATCTGTGAGAAAGTTAACACCTAGAGAGATTATACTCCAAGTCACACAGCTATTTAGTGATAAAGTTGAGAATAGAACCTAAGTTTCCTGAATCACAGTTCAGTACTTTCATCAAGAGTAGCTCTGGGGGCAGCTAGGTGCCACAGTGGATAGAGCACTGGCCCTGAAGTCAGGAGGACCTGAGTTCAAATACGGTCTCAGACACAAAACACTTACTAGCTGTGTGACCCTGGGCAAATCATTTAACCCCGTTGCCTAGCCAAAAAAAAAAAAAAAGAGTAGCTCTGCATCTCACTTAATAAATATCAATAGTTAGGAAAACTTTAATGAAATAATATAATCAGCAGTTGGGCAGGTAGGTGGCACAGTGAATACAGTGCTGGGTCTAGAGTCAGGAAATTCACATCTGGCCTCAGATACTTACTAGTTGTGTGACCCTGGGCAAATCACCTAACCCCGTTTGCCTCAATTTCCTCATCTGTAAAATGAACTGGAGAAGGAAGTGGCAAACCACTCCAATATCTTTGCCAAAAAAACCCGAAAAAAACAAACAAAAAAAAAAACACCCAAATGGGGTCAGACACAACTGAAACAACTGAACAACAACATAATCAGCAGTTCCATTAATTTACCATGACTTTCTCCACTGAATTCCCTTTACCAATCAGTGTTTGTTAAGCACTATGTGCCAGGCACCATGCTGACTGCTGAGAGACAAAAATGAAACTGGCCTTGCCCTCAAGAAGCTTATATTCTAATGGTATAAACAATATATTCATAGTTTCTCATAGACTGTGCCAGCAAAGCATGTAGTCTCTGGCAGGTTCTACCAAATTGTAGAGGCCTCAACTATATACAAGACTTGCTGAATATAGTGAAGCCAAAGTGTGGCTGCCAGATGATTAAATTTTTTGGCCACAACTCATGAAAATGTTAAAGTATAAAGAATTTTGAATCTGCTTTACTGGAAAGTATAGCCACATTGATGAAGCAGTGAAAATGATTACAAAGAGTCAGCATGATTTCATCAACAAGAAGATAGACCTCATTTACTTTTTTTAAAGGATTACTAAAGTAATGGATAAAGGAAATGCATGCAACAAATATGATTTACCTAAATTTTAGCTAAACTTTTGATAAAGAATCTCTTAAAATAACTGTGGCAGAGATGGAGAGATGTGGACTAGATAATGCAATTACATAGATAACTCAAAACTGGTTGAATGGCCAGACTCAGAGTACTTAGTTGTTAATGGTTCTAGCTTCAGTCTTAAGCTCTAGTCCTATATCATTAACTGCCTATGGGACATTTTGAACTATATATCTCATTGGTATTTCAAAGTCAACATGTCTAAACAGAGCTAATTATCTTTTCCCTCAAATCTCCCTTCTTTCAAGCTTCCACATTACTCTTAAGGGTATTACTCCCAAGTCACATAGGTTCTTAACTTTGGTGTCTTTCTGGATTCTTCTCTCACTTAACATCTCCAATCAGTTGTCAAGTTTTTGTGATTTCTCTCTGTAAAATGTCTTTCATATACTTCTCTTCATTTACAGTCCTAGTTCAGGTTTTCATCATCTCTCACCTTGATCACCTAATTGGTCTCCCTGTCTCAAATTTCCCCCTATTCCAGTTCATTCTCCAGCTGTGAAAGGAATTTTCCTAAAACATAAGATCTGCACCACTCCCCTCTTTAAATTCTAGTGGCTCATACTTTTAGAATCAAATGTAAATTCACCTGTTATTTAAAGTTGCTTATAGTGTGATTCATCTCTACCTTTCTAGTACTCTTACATATTAGTACTCTCTATGAACAGTCTAGCCAGCTGAAGTCTATAAGCATTTATTAAGCACCTATTCTGTGCCAAGGATTTTGTATGTAATCATACAGAGGAAAGAAGAAACAGTCCCTACCCTTAAGGAGCTTGAAATATAATAAGGGAGACAGTATGCAAACAAAATATATACAAGATAAATTGGAGATAATCTTAGAGGGAATGCATTAAAATTGAGGAGCAATGGTAAATGGTTTTTGCAGAAGTGGGAGTTTGGCTGATATTGGATTTCTAAGGAAGCCAGAGAAACCAGAAAGTAAAGGTGTGAAGGGGGAGAACATTTCAGGCATGGGGGACAGCCAGTGAAAATGTTCAGTCAGGAGATGGAGTGTTTTGTTTAAGAAATAGCAAGGAGGCCAGTGTCACTGAATCAAAGAGTATATTGAGGGAGACTAAGGTATAAGAAGACTGGAAAGGTAGGAAAGGGCCAGGTTATGAAAGGCTTTGAAAGTCAAACAGAATTTTATATTTAATCTTGGAGGCAATAGGGAACCACTGGGGTTGATTGGAAGTGGGAGGGAGGTGGGTAGGAATGGAGAGCTTTGTACTTTAGGAAGATCATTTTGATAGCTGAATGGAAGACCAATCAGCAGATTTTTGCAGTAGTCCAGGCATGCGGTGATAAAGAACTGCTGGTAGCAGTGTCTGAGGAAGGAAGGGGGCATATTTGAGAGATGTTACAAAGGTCAAAACAAGTGGACAACTGATTGGATAAAGGAGAAGAAGAGTGAGGAGTCAAGGATGTGACATCAAGGTTACCAGCCTATGTGACTGGGAGAATGCTGGTATCCTTGACAGAACTTTGAAATCTGGAAATTTGTTTTCAGTTCCAAGCTTCACAGTTTAAAGGAGGACATTGGTAAGCTGGAAAGGGCAGAGGAGGGCAACCATAATAAAGGACCTTGAGTCCATGCTGTATGATGAAGAGTTGAATGAATTGGGTGTGTTCAATGTGAAGCAGAGAAGATTCAGGAAGTATGTGATGGCTGTCTTCAAGTATTTGAAGAGTTGTCATGTAAAGGAGAGATCAGACTTAACTGTCCCCAAAAGGTAGAATCAAGAGCAATGGACAGAAGTAACAAAGAGGTCAGTTTAGGACTGTTGTAAGGAAACATTCCTAAAGTGTTGAGTTGTCCAAAAATGGATAGGCTGCCTTGATTTTTCATTTTTGAAACTTTTCAGATAGAGGTCAAACAACCACTTATAGGATATGTTAGAGTAGAAATTCCTTTTGTGTGTGGGTTGGGCTAAATTGCTAATTAGATCTCTTCCAACTCTCAGATTCTGTGATTTTATGAAATACTATTTAGTAGTAGTGAATGGAGAAGAAAATTATCACATATTGAACATGGTTAAAAATCAGATTTCATGATCCTTTGATATGGAAAATTCTAGTTGATAGAAAATAGAATATTAAATCTTTGTGATTACTAACACTTGAAGTCTTTTCACCTTTCTTATACATCTGTCTAGAATTATGTTTACTATTGCTCTTATAAAACATTAAGTAAAGATTTCCTTTCCAGAGCTTGAACCCACATAGTTTTAGGAAAAGAACATTTGAATAAATTTGGAAGATGACAGCTTTGAAATATCTTATTTGTTGTTGCCTGAGAGAAAGCATAGTTAATTTGAGAAAAATATTCCTAGTATAACTATGAGGAATAAGATAATAACATCATGTACTACTGTGACCTCAGCTATTTTTAGCAAAATGACTTGTTAAGTGTGGAGGTTGATGCAGGTAAGCTTATTTACTGTATAATAGTTTCATTTACTCTATATAAAGCATATGCAACTAGATGTAGTGGTTCTCAGTGATAAACTTTAACTATTTGGGTGGCTGTTAACCTTTGTACTATAACTTCTTTGAATTCATGGATGATCCAGGAAGCATTATTTGTATAAACTGAACAGGAGACAGGTTATTTAAATATGCTCAGGCAGCTGAACTCTGATACTTGTATTTGTTCAAAATGGCACCATTTTCTCCAGTGAGAAAATAATCCTTGTATTGATATGAAGGAAGTTTTATAATTTTTGTGGTTACTCAAATATTTTACATAAGTTTGTAAAAAAAATTTATTTTTAATTTTTTCAATTTTTAAAAATTATTCCAGTAAATTACATCACCTTTTGCCCCTTATCATCTTTCATGAATTTAATTCCTTTGGAAGACAATAGATCATAGATTTAGAGCTGTGAAAGGACCATAGAGATCATTTTATCTTACCTCTTTATTTTATATATGAGAACATAGGCCTAGAGAGGATCTGTTTCATTGGACAAATCCAGAAATGTCTAAATACCTTTGGATAATCCATAGTAAATTCTGAGGTTTTCTATGTGTTTGAATTTAGGGTAGGCATTTCCCTACCCTAATCCTCATCCAAAAAAAAAAACCCAAAAATATGCATTTTGGATGCAAGCTTGCCAAAAATAATTGTATTAATTAAAATTATTTGTGTACTTATTTAAATATGTAAATTTTATATGATTGCTAAAAATTACAGTAACTTTATTAACAACTGGCTTTTCCAGGTTTTGAACTACAATTCCGATTAGGCCCAACTTTACAAGGGAAGACAGTAACTGTCTACACAAATTATCCACATCCTGGAGAAGAATTTAGTCGACAAAAGTTCCGGCCCCTTGCTTGGGAAAATCCAACAGAAAGGGAAGATGATTCAGACAAATACTGTAAACTTAATCTTCAAAAAGCTGGATCATTTCAATATTATTTCAATCAGGAGTAAGTAAAGCCTTGTATATGTGAAAAATGTGGATTTAAAATTTTGTACCCTTAAGTTAGCAAAAAATAAAGTATGGGTAATGGCAAAGAGATTTTTTCTTATGCTTTTTTGCCACCTGATAAAGGGTCATATCAACTAATTTCTAATAATCAGTAGAGTACTTTCTGCATAGCATGAAGTGTTACATAGCCACTTGTGCAACAGATGTTTATTGAATGTTATACAAGATAGTTAAAATAAAACTCTGTGATATCTTACACTATCATTTGTAATGTAAATTGAACAAGAATTTTTTTGTGGAAATTGATGTTTGGGGGTTCTAGTAGCATCTTTTTAGCAAACCTCCAATATAATTTTAATTTTTTTTTATTCAGCTATAAATTCTGGTTCATGAAACTTTGCAAACTTTTAATAGAACTTCTGAACCTCACTTAACGAAAAGAACATACATATACACACACATATACACATACATGCATATATGTATATATATATGATCAAATTTATATTTGTACCTTTAATTGTATTATGTAGCTTTTTTTTAAACCATGTATTTTTTAAAAGAAATCTTACTCATCACTATTAAGCCAATCATACTACAAAATTGTTATTCAATATAGTTTTTTAATTAAGTGCTTCTAAAATTGTAAGGTGTGACCCAGTGAAAAGAGAGAATAACAACTTTTCCTGTTACTAAAACTTGAATTTTGATGGCAGTAAATTTAAAAAAAAAAATAACAGTTAAATAACATAACTATAAAAACTGCAGAGATTAAGAAATGTTCTTTTATAAAAGCCTGTACTTATGGTCTATAATTGTAAGCATATCAGTGTAGGCTTTTATAAATGAACATTTAAATCTTTTAACTATAAAAAGAATAATATCAATTATATTCTTATTGTCTTCCTTTTTCTTTTTTTTTAAGAAATGAGAAGAGTGGTGGAGGTTATATAGTCGTGGACCCTATTTTACACATTGGAACTGATAATCAAGTATTACATTTGGACTGTGTTACTCTCCAGACATTTCTAGCCAAATGTTTAGGACCTTTTGATGAATGGGAAAGCAGACTCAGAGTTGCAAAAGAATCGGGTAATAGTAAAAAAAATTTTAAATGTCATTAGAACCACACGTTATTGTTATCTCTTATAAAAATTAATTTCAAAGTTTTAGATACTCACTTTCAGTGTAGGTCTCAGTGCATTTATTTACATGTCATAAATTTCATATAGTGACAAGTAATAAAAGTATGTCATTGTCATTTCCTAAGAATTTACTTTAAAACATAAAAAATTAGCAGCAAGCTGATAAATGAGATCTTATTAAATAAATATTTTTAGTTCTCATTTGAAAAAAAATTTATACAAAGAATGTATTCTTATATGTGCTTTGTAGTTTCTTTAGTATACATTTTATATGTTTTTATTTTTTTATCAACTTCTTAGATTTTTTTCTTAATGTTAATAAAATGAAATATTTTGCAGGTTACAACATGATTCATTTTACCCCACTTCAGACTTTGGGGCTGTCTAGGTCATGTTATTCATTGTCTAATCAGTTGGAACTGAGTCCTGACTTTTCTACACCTAATAAACAGTATACTTGGAGTGATGTCGGACAACTGGTTGAAAAAATGAAAAGGGAATGGAACATTCTTTGTATTACTGATGTTGTCTACAACCATACTGGTATGAACTTCATTAAATTGACTTTATTTACTTTTACAAATACTTTAAACATTAATTTTATTATTGTGAGAGAACATAGCCCTTGAGAGTATGCTTTTTTCAGAATAGTTATCAGTTATCCAATATATTGTCTTTCATTTTCAAAAATGATGCTACTGGTGGTGATTGCAATTTGCACAGAGTATGATAAAATGATGAGACTAATTATTTGAAAAAGTTTGTTGAAGCAGGGAGAAGTAATCATACTAAGGACCTATTGCTACATTGTTTCAGTATGAAGCATGGTACTTTTCAGCGTGATCAATTGTCATTTGATGTAAAAAAAAAATATTATTTTGATCTGTATATAAATGAATGAGCATTACTTAAAGCAAAGAATATCAAGGCAATCAGAATTTGCCCTGAAGATGTCAAATGTTGACCTAGAATCTGTTTGCTCATCTGTAAACTGAGGTGATTTTTGCTATGTGATTTCATTATCTTTAAGCATAATATAATTTCCTTGTTTGTCTCTTTTAGTCAGGCCAATTTTTGCTGACACCTTGCCTGAGGTCATGATTGCTACTCCTGTTTTTTTTGTTCGCTCAAAGTATAGTAGATTTTACCCTTGCCCCTTATTTTAACTATATAAATATTTGTTTCAAATGTATTTTATTTAAACAACATATTGGATTTTGCCTTTAATTCATTCTGCCATCTTTTTTCATTTTATGAATGAGTTCATCTCATTCTTATTCATGGTTATGACTAATTGTGTATTTTCTTCTATCCTGTTCTCTTATTTTTTCCACTCATTGCCCCATACTCCTTTCTTTACAAAAAAGATGGCGAAAAAGGAGTGTACATAATACTAGTGATCTGTTAATGAAGCAGTCTATTTCTGTTCCACTGCCCTTCATCTATTCCCTTTGCCATGCCCCTTTCATAGATGTTTACTCTTTCTTTCCTTAAATCTCATGCTTCATTTCTTCCAAGGCAGTCTTATAGACTTTGTTGCTAGGTCATTTTTTCCTTTTGAAGCTGTACTTGGACTTGTGGTGTCACTCTTTTCTTCATCTGGCTTTATCTCTTGGGCTACACTCAGTCCTTAATATTTTTTTAAATTTTGTTTAATATATTTTATTTAATATATTTGTTTGATATATTAGCCTCAGTTCTGGAATTGGGTTTTTGTGTTTGGGATATATTCTGCTTCTTCTTAGAATCTGAGTTGATATAAGCAGGCCCTACTTGGTTCAGGATACAGTGGTTAAGATTAGGCCCCTCATCCTGCAGGAATTCCTGGGTTTTCATTTAGTTTCCCAGTGGCTTGACTTGGGTTTTGGCTTCTTCTATCTCTTTTCCCCTTCACAGTCACAAACCTGGAGTTGACTCTGCCTTGACCAATGCCCCATCCAAGTGTTGTCATTTGTGTTAGTAATAGGCTTCCTACGAGACCCAAAGTGCTCTTGCAGTGGCTTGGGTGTGGACTTGCCTGGGCCATGGTCTGGCTTTGTCTCCTGCTTTGAGTCTGGGCCTCTTGCATGCAATGCCTTCTGCCTACCTTGTCTTGTCTTCACTCAGAATCTCCATAGGTTTCTGGCAGTCTTTTTATATAGCCCTGGACTAGGTGGAGGAGTTGATAGACATTTCTCCTTGGTTTTCTTTCTCATTATGCCTTCTCATGTATGTTTAGAACTTATTGGGAGTGTTTATATGATAGTCCTGGACTCCTCTAGGTCCTAACATGCTGCTGTCTTAATTGAAAGTCCCTAAGCTATATGATCTCAGGGTCCTTTCAGCTCTAAATTTCTATTAATCTATGGATGTCATGAACAAAAATATTGCTCTTGGGTAAGACTTAAAGAACATAGAGAATTTCCATGCTGGTACAAAATAGCTACCTAGGGATCATAGATTAAAATCTGGAAAGGATCTCAGAAGCCATGTAGTCCAACACACTCATTTTACAGATGAGGAAACTGACACCGAGGAATGTTAACTGACTTACCCTAAGTCACACGAAAAGGTCAAAAATTGGGTTCATTCATATAAACAATTAATTTGGAGAATGGTGGGTGAAGCCCTATTACTGGATTTTTCCCCAAAACAGCAAAAAGTAATTAGAATAGGATCTGATTGAAAGTAAATAACAATTCAAAATTAAGTAGTAGAATCGCTGTTTTTCTCCTCCTGCTCAGTGCTATCACCCTTCCGACCCCCAATTTATGAAGAAGTACAGTCTGTCTGGAAAAAAATCAATACTTCTAGGTAAAGAGAATTGGTTTCATTACAATAAGTTCACTCTTTGTGACTCTATTCCTTGGCAACTGGTTTCAGCTTTCACAGCTTCTTTGGCATGGTTCAAAGTTGCTCCTTTGATTCTACCATTCTACCCCATTGAGTATGAAGACAGCTTCACAGTAAAAAGTTTCAAAAAACGTTTTTTAGCAATGGCAACACTGCTGAAATAATTATAGCATTCACAGATGCCATTTAATAGGGAAAGTATTCATTTGGATTGCAAGTTCTGGAATATTCCTTTGAAGGACATGTAACTTTAAGGTCTTGAAAGTTTAATCAAAAAGACCAATGAGCAATAGTGTATTGTAAGGATTATTCTTTGATTTATACTGATACAGCTATTTGGAAAGTTTGTCATTATTTGAATCTTTGCCTCTTTGACTTGATAAACTGGACTTCTTTTCTCGATAGCAAAGGAGGAATTGGGGAAATTAATCACAGTAGCATGGAGTCATGTTAAAGAATGAAGGACTTTACTTGTTTGGACATCAATGGAAGTATTCCCTCCTCCAAAACTAGAGTAGCAAATAATTTCTTGACTTGCTTTAATGGCAGTGTCACACTTTAGAAAGTTAAAAAAAACAACAACAGCAAAGGGAAATTCTGTTCTAGATCTGTTCAATACAAAAACAAAACTAGTTGCTGAGTTGGAAATGTTGGGAATTCTGAAGGCAAGGTGTTCACTCCAATTTAGAATTTTGATAGATGAGAGGAAGACTGGCCTAATCTAACCGAGTAAGAGTGGGATGATTTCGTGAATGAAATTCTGAAGGCACAAAAAGAAATTCTGATGAGGAAAAGGGGAACTATCTAACGAGGCTGATGGTGGATCCACAGAGAACTCATTAACCAACTTTGATCTATAAAAGACAGGTACAGAAGGTGGACACACAAGGGTGAGTAATAGAAGATGAATATTAAAATGAGGCATAGTCCTTTAAAAATAGTTTTAAAAACAACAGAGTTCAGAATGAGGTTGGTCTGGCCCCTGCAAAATTAGTTTTAAGAACAACAAAGGATTTTTTTAGTGCTTAGTTGGGTAAAGGAGAATCAAAGAGGGAATCAGCATTCAGTAAGCACATGCCAGGCACTGTGTTGGGCTTGAGGGTATCACTACAAGCAAAAACAGAGTCCCATCCTTGAGGAGATTACATTCTAATGGGGGAAGACAGCACAAAATGGAGATGAAAAGTGTGAAGTGAGGGATCTTGGGATGGCATGGTGGTGAAATCTGAAAATTCAGAAACAGAGCCAGAAGGGGAATGAAAGTTTGTCAGCCTGGACCCCTCCCAAAAATGGAGGATCAGGATGGAATTTACTAATGGGAGAAGAGTTCCAATATGACAGATTGACATTTGAGGGTGAGGAAGCATCAAGCACTTAAGGACATTCCAGGATGAGACAGCAGCTAAGACATGGGGGGCAAGGTCTAGGAAGTCAGAAGCACAGCAAGGAGCAGAAAAAAGGTTGGCCAACATGGATCTCTCCAAAATGAATGTCCCTGGACTGGGTAGAATGATGATAGAGATAAAGCAGAGCTATAAAACTCTTAATTTACTTCTGTATTCTTTGCGAGGGAGAATAATCTTTGGAACAGAAGGGCCTATGTTACTAACGGGGAGCTAGTTGAAACCCCAGATAAGTAAGGAGATGGTAACAGAGCTCCCGATGCCCTTGATGAGTTCAGTTCACACAGCCCAGACAAACTATATCCAAGCTACTGAAAGAATTTGCAGAGGGCTGAGCCAAGATGGTGGAGTAGCAAGAAGTTAAGCAAACTCTCCTCCCCCAACTCCAAAGAGATATAAAAAATGCACCAGACCAAATCCTGAGGAAGAAAGGGGGGGGGGGGTGTCACAGTGAGTCATTTTTCCAGCCCAGGTTGGCACAGAGAGATCTGTGGTCACTAAGGATTGGATCTGGCCAGGACTGTGGCTGTGCAGGGTACTCTAGTGCAAGGAGAAGCTATGCATCAAGGCAGGAGGAGGTCCTGATCACTGTGGGGCACCACCTGCAGGGTGTGGGAATAGGTGCCTAGCAATTTTGTCACTCTTGACCCAGTTCCAGGTCACAGGTCTAGGTTGGTTTGAGGTGACATGCTCCCAGGTTGGTGTTCCAGGATAAAGAGACAGAGATTGTAGACCCTAAGCAGTGTACTGAGAAGAGGAGTTTAAAAGCAAGCAGCAGTGGTGTTCCTGGACCACAAAAGCAGAGCAGGGTCTCAGTTCCAGTTTCTAGCCCAGTCTAAAGCCTACAGAAGAATAATGAAAGGGACGTTTGCTATCATTGAACAAGTAGAGCTTCCCAGCTCACTGATAATGGCAGAGTTCAGTAGCAATCTACTATTTCTCAGAACTAAATCCAGGTCAGGAGCTTACAGAGCTCATACCAAAGTGGGATCCATCAGATTTTGCCTTGGATCAGAATGCTTTGTGAGCAATAAAAGTTTGCAAGTCCTCAACCTGAGCTGTTCCTTAGATCCTAAAATAACTCATTACTCAGTACCACCAAGAAAGCAGTAAGAGGACAGCCTCAGATGTCCCCCTCCAGAAAGTGCATAGAACTTGCTCATAACATCAAGTCTGAAGTCAGAGAGTAAGTTGGAAGAATGAGCAAGTGAAAAAAGAATACCACCAAAAGATAATATGGTGACAGGGGTGCTCAAGACACAAACCCAGAAGAAAAGATTGACTCCAAAACTTCCACAACAAAACCTC